ACAACCTTGTACCGGTTTCGCGGCAAAAAATTGTAAGGGAGGGGCGCTATAGCGCAATATAGGTTCAGTGACGCCTCCTTTTTTCCAGTGACTCCGCCTCCAGACTCCGCCCTCAAGGCCCACCTTTCAGTGAAAAACGAAGCTGCAGGACGAAAAAGCATGAAAATCGTCACTTGTACGGTCGTAGAGTTCTTATCGGGGAATCAGCTGTGCGGATGAGGGCATAGTGCTGAAGATGGAGTTAACTGGGCACGTTGAAACTGGAATCGGAATGGGGTTCTACTTAGGGCAATTAGCATGTTTTTTTTTGCTTTTTTCTTCACTATCGAGTTACTCACAACCTTGTCGTCTATATGCGAACTCTTAGTCCACTATCTGTGGTGGCGAATGATCGCGGTTTTGCCTTTAATTCGCGGTAGACTCTTGGAAGATAACAGCTTCATGATTATGAAATCGGTAGCATCCTAGTACAACCAGAATCTGGTTCTAGTTTGTAGTTAGCTCCTACCAAGAGGTAGTTACCTCTTGGTAAGAGCTTCTCTAATGGTTGGCATTCTTGAGCACAAGCCTTCCTCATTGAACGGCTTTGGAAAGATGCCTGAACGTACATAGCGCATTCCACCAGTCACATACTTTCTATACTGTTTGCATTAAAGGATTCGGAGACGACAAATTGCTGACGATAATGTGAGCAGATTTTTTACGCAACAGAGCAGTGGAATAGGGGCGAGGTTAACAATGAATGGGCGATGACTGTGATTGGCTACAAGCCTTGCGTACATATCAGTCTCCATGGACTTGACCTGGCTCTAACTCAGCGATTCCATGTTCAATCAGCGAAAATAGCTGGCGAATCCAATGTGGTGTACGCGAACGCTTGCTGTGCACCCGAACTCTCACCGCCTGACGACCCTGCACGGTTCCACAGGACAGAGGGGACGCCAATGCGGAGCCGTAGAATACCCTCCTTGTCCTTCACTCTTTATTGTCGTCATACGGCTAGACATAGCTACTGTGGTTTCTTTTGATACAACTTTGAAAGAAGGCGAAAATCGATGGGAAAATGTGAGCAGTCCCCCGAATGCGAAAGAGGTGTCCTGGAAGGTTTTTTTTTATGAACGTGTGCTGCTTCAGAGGTCCGAGTTGTCGTGCAGCGCAGCAACTAGGTAGCAAGGTATAGTCTAGTTGGTTGACTCTTCTTATTCCAGCATTTCTGCGTCGGTTTAACGAAATACTTGTGCATTTGCTGTGCGTGCAATACAGTTTGCAATACCTTTCTCGCCGCAGCTCTCACATAGACCTTCACGCCAACCAAAGAGATCACTAGACCCCGAGAATTTTCAGCCTTATTGCGTATTATAATTTAGCGCAAGAATGCCAACTACTGCAGATTCTGAAACAGTTCCCTCCTTCAAATCAAATAACTAAGATTCCGGTTTTACTCGGATGTTCTAGGTTTCATAGCAATCATGGAGCTATGAGGTTCCGAGAGTCCACCGCGACTTATAGTTATCCCATGTTTGCTAAAATATCTTGGCTGGGCGCAATTCTCGCTTACCATTCGTCTTGGCAAAATCAGAGCAACTGCGGCTGTCGAGCGAGTCCCCGCGCAATACCCGCGCATCTCCAACCGACAGGAAATCGACTCCTCTGTGTGATCTGATCAATCGCACGAGGGACCGACAGGGAATTCACACCAATTTCAGGGTTGCGGTCGCTGGCAGGCTGACCACCTGGTTTCAGGACCACTATCAGTTTGTCAACGGCTTTAGGCCTACTAGTGTAGGATAAAGAAAGGAGAGACGCTCAAAACCATGTTGTGGACAGTACATACCAAACATGCGACGTCGTTTGATGGCCTGCTGCTGTACACTTCTGAATGGTCCTTTACTGCGCTAGCAATCTGCACCACCTACGCGGTTGAAACAACTGAGAAATTGCAGGCACTCTCCGCCAGCCAGCAGCCAGACCAGCTAAAATGGAACGTCCCCGTCTGCGCCCCTCCGATCAGGTAGATCAAATCGATAATTCGATCCACCCCTCCGATCCGGTTTTGAAGTTGCGCGGGCGAACGCTCGTCTTTGGTGTGCGGCGACTCCAGCTAGAAAAAGACCAGGAGAGATAGGCCGCATACTCAGGATTCTCTAGCAAAGCGTAAGAGATGCCAAGGTCGCAGGATTCTCGCAGCACCATAGAGGCTGTAATTCCCTTACAAACCTGGAGGCGACGTGGCCGTCTCGAAATGACCAGGATATCCTTTTTTTTACTGAGATGAAAGGACTAGTTCAGCTCGTTGACTGAAGGGCTTTTGAAATGCCTATCGTACGCGTGGCATCCCAGAACATGAAGCTTGCTTTGGCAAGAGGATGCGGGTCAAGGAAGCCTGGTTGCAATGGCATTGTAAGTGGTGTAATGGACTCGTCAGAGAAATCAGTCCAATGCACGCTGGTGCACGCAAGAGCCAGTTGGGGCCGCACCCACATTCTAGAAGTAATGACCCTCGGCCAATAATGGCCTGCGAAAGCTGAAGTATATGGACATAAATGTGTCATGACTGAGTGTGTGTATGGGAAAAAGGTGCTGCTCACCACGCGCGCGGTCCTGGGGTCAGAACGGACTCGAACTCTTTGGCAACTCAAGCTCCTCGGCACCAGTTAGTCTTCAGCGGATGCTGAAGACTTATCAAGACCCAAAGATGTGCAACGTCTTAAGGAGGGAAATTAACGTCCAGTGCTTAACACGAAGAAGGGAGTGAAGCAAACGAAAACCTCGGTTTGATTCTCTCCAGAAAAACAGATATATAGTTTGCCCCGGTCACTTTTATGGTTCTTGTTTTGCGATATTATTGTATTGGTGTGGAGCCATGGTATTTCTGAGAGCTCTTGTAGTGGAGCCGTACATGTGACGAGTTTCAAAGGCAACTGCCTCACCACCGCAAGAGTAAGGGGCAGTTCTCACATGTGATACATCGTATGCGCCCATTCGAAAAGGTATAATGGGACAGCACAGATGACTACGACGATTCCAGCAGACTTAAAAGCAGTTGGCACGACAAATTACTAAAGACGAGTAGGAACTAATACGGCCGGTCAAGAGGCGGTTTTCGCGATCCTGAGCAGGACTAGGCGCGCTGCGTAAGCGTGTTTTGTTCTAGGGAGGGAGTACCCGTTGTAGAGGGTCGCTTCAAGTCTACAACACCGATCTCAAGCGCCCGCTCACGCCCGCCCCGCCACAAAATGGGCGACCTAGCCACCAATGCTCCTTATGCCTGTCATTTGCGCTAAGTAAACATAATAGCGAAGAGTATTGTTAGGCGAGCGCTGCAGCTGCTGAATGGATATATGTGAGTACAGTACATGCAGGCGTACCTACGCGGAGCGAATTATTTCCCAATAGGCTTATGGGCTAAAGTCACAGCCCCAAAACTGCTGGTCTTCAGAAAGGCTTTCTTCGGCGTTTCTTGAATCCATCTTCACTTCATTTTTTCGCCATTTTCCCACTAAATAGCGCCCTGCCCTGCTAGCTTTTTAGGCTGAGTACCTAAGTATGCAGATCAAACTGTTACCAAACAATGATCCTGAAAAACCGACGAAGTCCGCAGGAGAGCTCTTAACAGCCCCCCCCCCCCTCCCCAGAAGTTAATATGAAATCTTTGTCGGTCCCTCGTACGATTGATCAGATCAAGCAGAGAAGTCGATTGTCTTTGGTTCATCTTGGACATGTTCAAATGCCACGCATACTCTGGCTCAGGGATAAGGAGTGTAGGTGAGCGCTACTCGGATTTGGGGAGCATCGGATCTACTGACCAGCAAACCAGTCGTATCAGGCGCAACTTGCGAAGACCACAAATCGTTTAAAGGACGGCTGCATTCGTACTGTAGTTAGGCATGTTTTCACATTCACAGAATTTAGACCTGTTAGTTGACCGGAAATAAAGGAACTAGTAAAAGTGCAAGCTGTTCCTCACAAATTGCATTCTTCAGCAGGATAATTTGCGATTAGATTTTCTTCGCTGGCATGGATCCCACATGATTGTATTATGTTCTTCGCTTTATACAATGGCTGCCATTGCGTTTTTTCCCCCTCAAAAGTCACGAGAGTAAAAAAAATTGTTCAGCTATTACTTTTTGACCAAATATGTAGAGTACGTTTTTCAGGCATACTTGCGATGGCATTGTCGGAGTGTATCTTTGAATGGATAGTCGAAGCGTTACCAAATGGATTTAGTGGAGATGACATCCGAGCGCGTTTGCTGACGGATTCCTATGCGTCAGTTGTCCGATATTACAAGGTAAGTTGCTTAGCGGATGCACGCTAATGTTTTTTCATGTCATTGAGTCTTTCGTATCGATTTTATTGAAGAAAAAAGCACCGGTCCATGTATTGCTTCGTAATATTTCAGTTGAATTGTCGGCTTGATGCTCAGACAAGGACACGACAAGCTTTGTCTTAATCAAGACGTTGAAACGTTTGTTGCGCGTCCACGTTTTCAAAATCAGTAGAAGAGCACCAGATTGCTCGTTTTCTGCAGTACAAAAATAAATGAAGGTTCTATTCTCTTTTCTATGATAGCTTACCAAAGCAGGTTTTCCCAGGATCAAGAAAGAGTATTTTTCTCCATGGAAAGGGGGAGGGAGGGGGGGGGGACTGGAGTAGGTAGTTTTTCATAGCAAAAACTTCGAAATCGAGTTGATAAAGGATAAACTCTTGTCTTGACTGATACCCTTTTGGGATGCGGCCCGCGCACTACTTTCATTCAGTTTCTTACACTTGCGAGCACCTGATGTACGTTTATGGAATCGTTCTAATATTGTCCTCCCAGATGAAGCTGGTACCAGTTCACCGTCCCCGGGGGGTAAAAGGCATGGTTGGCATGGGCGGGAGCCGACACGCGCGGGGTGAGCGTGCCTCTCTTCAGTACATCACCTTTGCCTCGAAATCAGAAATCGAGTTATAGATCCTCAAACTGCGCCTCACATAATACGCACAGGTTGCAACTTCTCCCTAGCCGATGGGATACTTACTGTTTTCACATGTTATTGGCCTTTTACTAAAATGGAGGGGGAAGGACATATAGTCTAGTTCGCTGCAGACGAAGGGGCGTGTCAGGCGGGATGAGTTGGGCGCGGTGCCGTCCTCCTTCGCTTCTGCTCGCATTCATCCCATACGCATCACGCTCCCTTAACTCCAAAAAATCACTGACGGTCGTTGAAAAATCGCGTGCGGAATACTCAGATCACCTCAAGTTCCTTGAGGACGAACCTCGCGATTGCATATTGCGGATAGTGGCGTTCAACCGCAAACCTATAGTCGCTAAACGACTCTCTAGGGAAGAAAAAAGCAAAAAAAAAATTGAGAACTCTCTAAGTACGGTCCCTGGCAGCTTCTCTGGACGAGTTCTCCGGACCTGCTCGTTTTATACCAGCAAAGCGATACCCCGCCGGCTCTGGGTCACCAATCGTTTCTTCGCGTCATCCAATGCTAATACCACCCACCTAACTGTAAAGAAACTGTGAAAACTAGCAGAAAATAGTAATGTTCCGGCGGG